AAGAACAACATTGGAGATTTATTTATACCATTTAATGGTCTGGGAAGGGAATAAAGAGATTATATTTAAACTTTACATCATATATACATGGCAAAATATCATGATAAACTAACAAAAGAATAGAGAGTAAAATATTTTGGGGGGATTGAACCAAGGGGCACTCTACCACTGACCTAGATCCTTAGCCTATTATTATTAGGGAATTGAACCCAGAGACACTTTACCATTGGGGATTGAACCCAGAGACTTCACCACTGAGCTACATCCCCAGTCCTTTTTATTTTTTATTTTGAGACAGGGTCTCACTAATTGTGGAGGCTAAACTCAAACTTGTGATCCTCCTACTTCAGCCTCCTAAGTCATTGGGATTGCAGGCATGTGTACCATACCAGAGAAAGTACAATTTACAAACAAACACATAGAAGGGATGAATTGACAAAAAAATTTATTTCAAAATAAGACCCCACCCCCACCCCACCCCACCCCAAAAAAATCAAGTAAGACATCTGAAAAGCACAAAACTCACCATTTATTTATTTGTTTGTTTGTTTATTTATTTAATTTTTTTTGTGTGGTGTTGGGGATTGAACCCAGGGCCTTGTGTATGCAAGGCAAGCACTCTACCAACTGAGCTATATCCCCAGCCCAAAACTCATCATTTAAAACTCACGTGTTTCCAGATTGAATTCTAAAAACTTAACTATTCATGTTTTAGGAGAAATATAATTAAAAAGTTTGTAAAATGAAAACAGAAAAGCTGAAAGTAAAATGATATAAATAATAAAATAATGACATCATTATCAGACAAAATAGATTTTTTTTTTTTTTTTGGTAGTACTGGGGATTGAACCCAGGGGTGCTCTACGCTGAGCTACATCCCCATCCCCAGCCCATTTTTAATTTTGAGGCAGGCTCTCACTAAGTTGCTTAAGACCTTACTAAGTTGTGATCTTGAACTTGTGATTCTCCTGCCTTAGCCTCCCTAGCTGTTAGGATTACATGTATGCACCACCATGCCTGATTTTTATTTTTTAAGACAGAATCTAGCTGCTCTAGGTCCCAAGCTGGAACGTGGAGTTTTTTTTGGTACTAGGGATTGAACCCAGGGGCACTTTAGCACTGAGCAACATGCCCATCCCGTTTTGTTTTTTTTTTTTATTTTTTTTTTTATTTTTTAGTTTTCAGCAGACACAACATCTTTGTATGTGGTGCTGAGGATGGAACCCAGGCCTCACGCATGCCAGGCGAGCGTGCTACCACTTGAGCCACATCCCCAGCCCCAATGCCCATCCCTTTTTATGTTTTATTTTGAGACAGGGTCTTGCTAAATTCTTAGGGTTGGCCTAAGCTATCGAGGTTGGCCTCAAACTTGTTGCTGGGATTACAGGCGTATGCCACTGTGCCCAGCAACAGAGTCTTCTTACGATGAAAAATCTTGAGAGATTTAGCAGTGCTTCCCATAGATCAAATTGGGACCTCTCCATGTAAATGCAGGCACCAATCAGTCAATCCTCTTTTATGATCTTGTCCCACAGTCATGCCAGAAGAGTAAATGGATATGGAGCTGCCCAAGAAGTGATCTGTACTGCCATCTGTCACCAGGGCCTGTCCTGAATCTAGGTCCCTTTTCTAACTGTCTTTGATTACCTTTCAGGAATGATATCTCCACTAAATGCAGTTTTTAGCAAGCAGGCAAACCTAGATGTCTGTCCCCGGCTCTTGCCACCACCATGGAATTTGAAAGGGATAAATCTTTTCCAATTTTGAACTAATACAGGTTTAGAAATGGGCCTGGGACCTATGCAGGGCCAGTTGGGAAAACCCTCCACACCATGTCCTATGAGGGAGTAAGGTGTTCATCACAGGCATAAGGAGGCCTTGGCCATAGCCTGCAGAGCTGCCCTACTTCCTACTCCATTCGGTGAGCCTGATCTCTGTTTCCTATTGATCTTGTGAACTCCTAATATCTTTCCAATAAATATTTCCTTTCTCCTAAATCAGCCAGACTTCATTTTCTTAAATTATAAGAGAAGGAGATGAGTCCCATAATTTGTCACCAATTGCCAGACATTAATATTGCCTATAACTTTTTCATACAACCAATAATGATGCAATAAACACCCTTTTATAGATTTGCACATTTCTGCAAACATTTTTATAGATAGGGACCACCTAGAAAGCGTTCTGGGACAAAGGATACAGTATACATTTAAAGTGTTTATAGGTACTGCCACTTCTGCTGCTCTGGCAGCTTCCCAACATAGGGAAGTGCTCATCCCTACACCACCATGAACAGAGATTTTTAAGTATGTATATTTTAGTAAATTAATAGATGGAAATAGCTTTTTCATTTTCTTATGCATTACCCAGTTGCTTGCAAGATGAAGATCTTTTCAAATAATTACTAGTGATCTATTTTTAGATGACTTTTTTCTTACTGATTTCTTCATATACTAAGTATGTAAACCTTGTATTTGCTATTTACTGCAATTATCCTCTTAAGGTTGGTTTAGGTGTCTTGGATTGTACATAACTTTTAAAATTTTGATCATTTTTTTCTTTATGATTTCTGGGTTTTCCATCACATTCAAAGAAGTTCTCTGTTCTATAAACAAACATATTTTCATAATTTTTTTTCTTTCTCTTTCTGGTACCAGGGATTGAATGATGGGCACTGGCTAAATCCCCAGCTCTTTTTATTTTTTTCTTTTAGAGACAGAAACTCGCTAAGTTGCCCAGGCTGGCCTGGCAATTCTGCCTCAGCCTCCTGAGTGGCTAGGATTACAGGTGTGAGCCACCGCACCAACTGAGCTTTTTTAAAATTTATTTTTAATATTTTTTAGATGTAAGTGGACATCTTCATTTTATTTTAGTGTGGTGCTGAGGATCGAACCCACAACCTCACGGATGCTAGGCGAGTGCTCTACCACTGAGCCACAGCTCCTATTTGTTCTGATGAGGATTTGAGTCTATTTTTTTCTCAGATGGTGCTACAGTTTGAATGTATATGACTCTTGTATATGTTGCAACTTAAAACTCAAGGTGATGGTAATTAGGGGACTTTGGGAGGTGCCCTAGTTTGGATCTTGGACATCCTCCAAAGGTCCATGTGGTAAAGGCCTGGTTCCTAGTGTAGTGATTTTGGGAGGGGGTGGAAGCTTTAAAAGATGGAGCTAGTGGGATATCCTAAAATCACTAAGGCATGCCCTAGAGTGGGCCAGTGGGACCTTGGCTGCTTCCTTCTTTCTCTCTTTGCTCCCTAGCCATTAGGTAAATGATTTTGCTCTACAACATACTCCCATCATGATACGCTGCCTCACCAACAACAGGGCCAGCGGATTGTACACTTAAAAATCTCTAAAACTGTGGGCCAGAATAAACCTTTCTTCTTCATAAGTTAATACTTTCTGATATTTGTTATAACAACAGAAACCTGACTAACTAGAAGTGATTAGGCCATGAGGACTCTGTCCTCGTGAATGGGATCGATGAGGCTTTAGAGAGCTGCCTGGTCTTTCCATCTCTTCCACCATGTAAAGACATGTTCATCCCTTTTTGCCCTCAGGTGCTTCCATAGTGCTTCTACAGCATTAGTCTCCTCTAAAGGATACAGCAACAAGGCACCTTCTTAGAAGCAAAGCAGCCCTTTCCAGACCCAAATTTGCTAATGTCCTGACCCTGTACTTCCCAGCCTCCAGAACTGTCAGAAATAAGTGTGTATCATTTAAAATCACCCAGTTTGTGGTGTTACAGGAACAGACAGGTTGATAGCTAGTTTTATTGAATAGTCTATTTTTTCCCACAGACTTGAAGTGCTTCCTTCAGAGTGTATTAAGGAAGAAGCTATCCCTAGAAGAATCCTAAGGGGCCTCAATCAGCATGTGACCACTTGTGATAAGTACACTGTTTCAAAAGGAGGCTATTCAATTAGTGCCTCATGGAGTTCTGCTAAAGGTAGAAATTTTCAAGAATTTAATAATATTCAAAAATTTGGTAGCCTCTCCCCTCTGAGCCTCACTCAAACATAGGACCAGGAAGGCCACCCAAGTTGCCCTACTTCAAGGAACATGCCTGCTTAAAAGAGCATATTAAATCTAAAAATGTGTACACCACATGTTATTTTTTCCAATGTAGCAATGGGAAGGGGGGAGGTTAAGGGAGCTCAATCACATTGAACTTTATATGAGAATACAGAGTATGCGCATAAAAGGTAGGGTATGACTGGCTGAGAAGGGTGGCTGGAGTTAGTGAGGTTTCACCAGCAGAAGAGGCTTACCAGCATTGTGTGACCACTGCTGTGTAGGCTAGGTTGGGGACCAACCAGATGTTCACTTTGAACTTTTCTCTTAAGTAGAAACTCGCTAACTCTTTAAGATGTGCTGCCATCTCCTGGCCAACCTTGTGCTGCAGTCAAATCACAAGCAGTTTTAGCAAACAGTGACTCAGCCACATGTTCAATATGATACAGTCACCCCAAACAAACCAAAACAAATACACCCATGGGAGAAGACACACACTGTGATGACCTTCCGTGGGGACTAGACAGTGCTGCTTCAGGTAGAGGCCCACACTGGCACCTTCAGGCACTGCTGAACAAGCAAACCTGAATAGTGGGGTGGGCCTATATGAACTCAAAGTATTCCAAATGCAGAAAAACTGGTACATAGATTATAGCCCCCAATTAGCTCACAGTTAATAAGGAATAACTAGACTCATGTATAAACTCTGAATGCTGTAAGTTCGTGCTGAAAATTGGAGTAAAGGGGGTCACCTCAGGATAGGGTCTGAAAAATACACTGCTAGTAGTAGTAATGCAAAATATTCGGTTACCAAGAGTAATGACCATTATGGAATAAGGCCCCTGCGGGAGGAGTGGTGTGTGGCATCAATCTCCCCTAAGGCAAAGGGCAAGACTTACCGCAGGTAACAGTGGAATGGAATGCATCAGGGAGCATCCTATTCACATGGGTAGTGAAATCAAAGCCAAAGCCAAACAGTTGTAAAACTAACATGTTAATATGATCTTTATTATATAGCACATCTGGTATTTGTGCATCCTAATGATTATACAGAATACTCTAAAAAACCAAACCTGACCATTCAAAATTACACTGATGAAGACTTGACCCCTAGTTGCATCTCTTAAAAATACATACATCGTGGTCGTGCTGTAACAGTATTTGGAAAAAGCCAGATAGTATAGGAAAGAAGGGAGTATAGAGACTGACGTTTGTGCCAAAGTAATTTTCTTTTGTTATTGCACTTTTATTCTACACACTTAGTATGTTACACTTTTATTTAACACTGTAATAGACATTAGTTCTTTAAAATAAACAAAAAAACATTGCATAAAGACCATAAGCTGTCCAGGCCAATTTTCTTTATGGACTCTCTGAGCAAGCTGGCCTCCCCAGGTCAGATATTCTCAACAGTCTCTGCCATCTCCTCAACTGGACTAGAAATTAACAAAGCAGATGATGTTAACAATAAAACTCTTTTAAGAACTATAGTGCTACTTAAAACCTCCAGGGGAATTTTCAAAGGAAGTGCCTCCAGATCACTCCTTTCTTACCCACTTATCACACTAGCTCTAAGCCATCCCACCCCCATCATTAGAATAAACCTCATTTTCTTTTAAAGAAAAAGTGGGTTATTTAATCCAGCAAACCCAAGAATCAAGATTTGAAAACTTAAAGTAACTCCCCTTTCAGCAATGGACTTTTCCAGGACTCTTCATTCGGCTCTGATATAACCTGAACTTTGGAGGCTTCCTGATGAGCCCGACAGAATACCAAGCATGGTGTCTCTCCAAAGCATGGCCAGAGAGTACCTCAGTTTCCCAAAGTGCTACTGTAATCACCACTTCCCTGGGCTTCTCAGTGCTAAATAATAAGCCAAAAAAATAAAGTGTCACTTAGTGCAGTTGTCACTCCGCAGCCCTGCTATCCTGAGCCACTTCTATCAGGAAAAAATTTTCCAAACACTCTACCTTTTCTGGTTTTGTTTGTTTGTTTGTTCGTGCTGGGAACTGAACCCACCGCCAGGTTTATGGTAAGCACATGTTCTACCACTGAGCTACACCCCCAACCCTCCAACTTTTCTTTGGCAGCCCAAACAAAGATACAAAACTGCATTTGGGAGTTTACAGGTACTGGTCAAAAGTTCTATCATTCCCCTAGTCCTATCTATCAGTAATGAATCCTTTCCTCCACTGTTTCCAACAGCTTTAGTGTTAAGTTAGGAGCAGTTGCTGCGAGGCTCTGTCCCCTTAAAGTTGACGGAGTCAAAATTGACTATCTTTGGTCTGGGAACAATCAGCGCAGTCCCCTTCCTGGAGCAGTAATAGGCGGTTCAAGAACCAGGGATGCCTGTGGACACCTCTCAGAACAGCAGTTCCTAGGCAACCACGTTGCTGCTAGCTCTCTAGGCACAAGGTCAGCCATCCCAGGCCCCAGGTGTCACCATCATTTCTTGCTCTCCAGGAAGCCTCTCGCTCAGCAAAATGAGCAATTTTTCATTAAAAATAGCCAGGTGAACATTTTTGGGCTAGGGTAAACTGCCCTCATTCAATTCTTTAGAAGGACTGAACACAGTGAGGATAATTCTTCATGCCACTCTTCTTCCTCCCTAAGTCACAATCTCACCTTACCACTTGGGAACACAACTAACTGAAGCTGGGAGGTAAAATCTTCAGCCATACTAAGTCCTGTATCATTTAAGTGCTGCACGCTTCTCTGAATGCCTAGTGTCCTCCCAAGTAATATACAATACAGTACATTTCATGGCATACCATCACATTAATAATGGGTGCCAACGAGCTAAGAATTCAAAATTGGCTAACAAAGTTATAAACCAAAAGTAAAATATACACACATCATACACATATATTCCTGCACTCAGCCTGCTGAGTGTTTAAATAACGCCCCCAAATATCCATGTGGACTTTGGCTAGCCTGGGGACTTTCAGGAGTATCTTGCACCATTTCTCAGAATACTTTTTAAAAATTAACTGTAAAACAACTCCTGACTTAGCATTAGTTCCTCCCTTCCTCCCTCCCACTGGGAAAAGAAATATAGAGAACTTGCTAGAAAACTGGTATCAGAGCAGACTAAGCCACAGGGATAAACTGAAAAGGAACTCGGGTAGGAAAATCTGACCTCCCATGTGTGACTGGAGTATGAGCTAAGGCTCTGCAAGAATGTTAGGAATGTAGTCTCCACAATGGAAGTACAGACTTCTGATTATTTGAGGTTTAGAAGACAAAGATCTGACAACAGGAACTAACTATATAAGATTTCTTTGAAATTTCATACAGTACAGATTATGATTTTCACCCATGTAGAGACTACTTGCTTCTCCTTTAACTTGACACCTGGCTTCCTGTAAGTCCCATCATAGTTCCCAGAAGGCAACAAATTCATGCTGAGAATAGTGACTTGAAGTATATAGCTAAACAGGTGTTCAGGTTCTGAGATAAACTGAACATTCTACCAGAACAAGGCCAGAACCAGCGAACCCAAAGACAATGGGTCCCCTTTATCATTTGCAAATAAAAAGGTCTGTAGTATGACATAAGTTTTGAAGGGATGCAGTGCTTAAGGGTTATTGTGCTCAACTGCATCATAACCAGAGTTAAAAGCGAGCTTTAATAAAAGTTACATAAAAATGTCTTAGACTCCACTTATACTCCGTAAATATGTAAGGGATGGTCATTCGGTTATAGACAAACCTAGAAAATCCCAGCAGCTAATGTAACATTCATCTTTTTAGTTTTTTTTGAATGTACAGAACGTCTTTGTTTATTTTTATGTGGTGCTGAGGATGGAACCCAGTGCCTCACACATGCTAGACAAACGCTCTGCCACTCACTGAGCTACAGCTCCAATCCTGTAACACTCATCTTACACACCTCCTGGGAACCTGATTCACACACTTTGGAGATGAACACAAAGGGTCAGACCAGAGTTCTTGAGACTGGACAGATGGATGGAGGCTATTCACCTCCACAATTTCTTCATCTACTTGTGTTTCTAAATCTAATGGAACAGTTTGTTGGTGGAAGGCTTGAAGTCAAGACCTGAGATGCACCAGTGTCAAGTTGTTCCCCTTTCCTCTGACTGGAGTTGTCCATCTCTGTCTCTATGTGTACTTCATAAGAACACCACCAAAGACCACTCAGAAGGGAGCAGAGCTTTCAGCCACCAACACACTGAGCTACCACAGAGCTATTCTTCTCTTTCATCTGGTTCCTTTTTTCTTCTAACAGATTATATCTAAAATAAGGTAAAGAAAGGACAGAAGAAACCTTGGCCTTTTAACCACTGGTCAAGCTTTAAAAATATTAGTGTGTTAGATTCAACCCCCAAAGAGTTTCTGATTAAAGTTTTGAAAACAAGCTGGTATGCACATTTCAAACAGGCTGTATGCAGGCCGTGGCCTCCCCTCGTTGCCCCTCTCAGGTCTTACCCACAGCCTCACTTTAAGTCAGTTCTGCTCACTGAATTCTAAGTACCATGTAATCTGGAGCTTTCCCACCTTAAGATCAAAAGAAGGGAGAGGCATGGGAGGAAGACCCAAGGGTAGAAGAACAGATTCTGTTCTGGAGTTAGCAGTAACTCAAAATCCAATAGCTTATGTATATACAGACATATGCACACTTTTTTCTTTTCTTTCTTTTTTGGTCTCTTAGTATTGTAATAGTGAAACCTCCCAGGAATCAGGGATGTGTAGCCCTATACATGTAAACACACTGGCACTGTGAGGAAAATATAGGTTTGTTTCTAGCTCCCTTACTGGGGTTTCTGACCATTACAACCTGAAATTCCTGGTTACAGATAGCAGGATCCAGGTATCCACAAGTTTTGTCATGTGTCCCTATGTTAACACAATCTTGACCTAAACTGAAATTTTCTAAGTGGTCCTTACCACTGGGTAGAATCAAACTATTCCTAGCTAGTGCTGAAATCATGAAAATAATACATTTTCAGTACTATTGCCACTGCAGTGTCCCACTTATTGTCTTTGAAACATAATACAGTGAATAGACAATGGTAACAATTGCCTCCTTTAGTTCTGAGGCCAGAACATTACATTCCTCAGCTTTTATACATCTTAGACAATCTTTTTTGACAAAGGGATAGGATGGGGCATCCATGACCCACCCAGAATGCTCAGTCATCCAACTCTCCACTGTCCAGGAGCCACCTCTGCCTAGGAAGGTCTTAAGTTGACCAGCAAGCACCAGTCTCTCAGGAGCTCCCTATAATGAAAAAAAAAGTCAAATTCTCCCCATGCCCAAAAGGTGAGGGGGGTAAAAAGAAACAAAGAATGGAGGAGAAAGGTCTTTGCTTTCAAGTAGAGTCATCTAGTCCTCTGTTCAGCCGCTCAGAATTTGACTTGCACAGTCGGTCCATGATGCCCCGGAGCATGGGCTGGACAATGCCCAAAAGAGGCCTTTTAGAGGGGTCACCATCCCAACAGGCTTCCATCAACTGCCAGCACTCCTCATCAAACACAGGGAGACGTTCTGGGCGGGCCCCTAGAGAAAGGAGCATGGAAATCAGAGAGTCAGTGAGAGGGAGCCCAACCCAACCAGCTGGCCAGGCCAGCTGGGCCTCAGGGAACTAAAGAGTAAAAGGAGCTTTGGTTTCCACTGCAGACATATAGGTTAGAATCTAATAGGAACAGTGAAGAAAGTCTGGAACCCACTCGACATAGGAAATTGAAGAGGAAATTTTAAAGAAAAAAAGCATTTTGAGATAGTTCAACACAATGCTGCCTGGAAGCAAAGGTTTGACTTATGTCTTCTCTGGATTCCAGGATGATCTAAATATGCATGTGTTGCTGTGGAGGAGACAGGGCCCTGCTGCAATGCCAGACTCTGCTCTCACTAAAGGAGTGGAGGCAGAGCAGTGCCTTGGCTCTTACCTTTCCGCACATTGTTCCAGAGATGGTCTTTGCTAGCACACCTCTCAAATGCCTCAGGGAGCTTGATGGAGCCTGAGCAGATATACCAGAAGAGAATCCCAAAAGCGTAGACATCCACGGAATTATCATACTTTCCTACAGCAAGAAGGGATGAACACTAGTGAACCAGAGAGGGAAGACGGCACATGGCCATCCACGTTCATTAGCAGGTCTTTTTATGTTGTTGTTTTTTTTCTGGAGCTGTTAACATCCATAGTCTTTCAAAACAGCCCTGCCAGGTAGTCAGGACATGTTTACAATATGAACACGAAGGCACGGGGAGGCCAAAGCTAGGCACTGACAGCATACCAACACTTGAACTGGATGAAGGAAAAGGGAGGAAGGCCTTTCATTTTCATGGGGTAACTACAAAATCAATCCTAATAGGTCACATCAGGGAAATACAGGTGGGTGGGTACACTGGAACTAGAACATAAGAGATTCTTTTAAGTCAGAGAGGAGTCTGGAGCCAGTGGGCAGCAGATCATTTACACCTTAAAGCAGGAGGTGACGTGAAAAATATTTTAGAAAGATTATTCTGACAGAAATAGGGTAGACTATAATAGAAATAAAGGACTTTAAATACGAAGCAGTCAAAGTAGAATAATAGTGACAGGAATAGAAATATTTTTTAAAAGTCAGTTTAGGGAAAGAAAAATGGTGACTACTTGGTTCAGATGTGGGTAGGACTAGAGCTGTCTACCTAACTTCTAATCCTCAGAGCATTACTTGATGAAGAGTTGAGAGAAGACTTGTGAACAAAATAAAAGAAATCCAAATACACTGCTAATTTCAGCTATTATCAATTCTAATGACTGACCTATAATTACCTTTCCATCTTCCTGATAAAGTACAACCCTTCTCTACTCACTCCCATTCAAAAATTCAGAGTCGGGCTGGGTTGTGGCTCAGTGGCAGAGTGCTCGCCTAGCATGTACAAGGCGCTGGGTTGGATCCTTTCAGCACCACATAAAAATAAATAAAGGTACTGTGTCCAATTACATCTAAAAAAATATATTTAAAAAAATTCAGTCATTTTTCAGTCATTCTTCCCTGTTCATCACTCATATCAAGTAAATAACAAAAAAATCTTGTCTATTCCATCCTCTGAATTGATTTCAAATCTATCTCTTTTTGCTTCAGCATTAACACCAACCTAATCCTGGAGATAACCACCACCGAACCCTCTCATTGTTTTTGGTTCTTCTCACTCAAATCCCCTCTACCAACTCCTGCTAAGCTAATCTTTCATAAGCATCTTCTTTGTATTCTCCCCTCAGGAGCTCAGCAGCTGCCCACTCCTGCACAGCAGGCCTACCTCCTCCGCCAGAATTTCAAGCTCAGTGTATTCACTTCCAACCTTGCTTGTCACTATTTCTATCTTGTCATACTTATTTCTATTATTATTTCTATTCTACAATATTCCTTAATATTTCCCCTTCTCTAGCCTCTGGAAGTTTCTCTCCTTCATGATCCATGGTTGGACTCTAGAGTCAGAAAAGACCTGGATTCAAATCCCATATCTATTACTTTCTAGCTAAATATTTTTTTGGGTGAGTTAATTCATCAATCTGGATTCAACTTTGTCCAGGAAATGAACAAAAAAATACACCAACATTATCACATAATTATGAAGATTAAAGGAACAAAATGTATAAATGCCCACACTGCTTACCTCAAAGTATATACTCAAATAAATGAGTTCCCTTTCCACATACCAACATTCCAGATCTGACTCGAGTTATACCTAAAATTTCACCTCTAACACAAACCGTCAAACATTTCAACCTTCCTCTTTCCCATCATGGAACACCAACGGTACATCATATAGCCCTTCACTTAGTATTAAATTATATGCTGCTGGATAATGGGTCCAAATTACTTTACCTCTCTTAATATACCTCTTTGTCAATTGCAAGTTCTTTATTGATAGAAGACAACTGCTATTATATAAGAGTTATTTGATTTAGAATTTATGATCAAATAATTAAATGATTATAGCAATGATGGCATAATAACCCAGAGAGAGAGAAATCCAAAAGAATGCACTGTGACTTCCCATTTGCACTTCCCTTCCTACTTCTATACCTCTTCACTTTTCCCCTACCTGCCTTAGGTTTGCCCTCCTCTGGTTTCTCCCCTGTCAGCCAGACCTGCCAGCAGTACTTGTGCATACTGCTTAGTCTGATGAGTAGCTCTCAGGATTGTAGTTCTGACCCTGCCCAAATCCACTCCCTGCCCTCCAGACCTTACCTGTGAAAAGTTCTGGGGCCATATGGATGGGTGTCCCCACAATGCTGCCTGACATCATGGCCTCTGGCTTGCAGAATCCTAAATCAGTGATCTTGGCACGATTCTGCTTGTCCAGCTGCCAAGAAAGCAGGGGAAGAATTCACCTTGTCTCTGAGCTTGCAGGTAGTATTCAATTGTATATCCAAGTTCAAAATATGCACCTCAAAGTAGTGCTTAACAAAATCTGCCTCCACCTAGCCCATCTTCACACTCTCCTCCTCAGAGACTGTGAGCAACCTGATGGCAGGAACTGTTTCTTTCATGTTTGTATCCCTGGCACTTAGCATGGAGCCTGGCACCTATGAGAATCTTCATAAATCTTGAAAGAATGAATAAGTGAGGATCTATGGAAGAACAATGAGGAAAACATTTCAACTCCGGATTCTTCACTTGACCCCAGGACAGAAAGGTGAAGTCCTCTAGTCAGCCTAGAAGCTTCCTGAAATTCCTGTATTTCCTTTCCTAACCAAGAGAGAAATCCAACAGAATGCACTGTGACTCCCATTTGGGGGTGTAGCTCAGTGGCAATGCACTTGCCTAGCACGCTCAAAGCCCTGGGCAGATTCCCCAGCAACAACACAGTTGGGGGAGGTGGGGCAGCATGGGGGGGGGGGACACTTTGGCTAATGATCAGCCTTCCTCTTAGATTTCACTTATACTTTTAGTAAGATTGTTCCCTTCTCTCAAACAGCTGTCATCTTTGTACATCATTGAAGTGCTACCAGAAATACCTTAATGATACTCTAAGATATTTACAAGAAGTCTATGTTGAAAGATTTTTGGAGGGCTAGGTGTGTGTATGGCTCAGTGGCAGAGCACTTGCTAATGTGCATGGGGGCCTGGGTTTAATCCAAAGCACCACAAAACAAGATTCTTTTTCAAGAGGAGTATGTCTAAATTAAAAGAAAAAAAAAAAAGTGGAATATGTCAAAAGTTCCTCTTACTTTCTTGCAGTCCTGGGGATTGAATCCAGGACCTTGGAACATGCTAGGCAGGCACTCTACTACTGAGTTACACCCCAAATCTCTAGCCCAAATTATTCTTCATAATTTAGATAACAGGACCAGTGAGTTCATGACTCTCTTACCTTTTAAGCTTTATTAATTTATCTCTGCTCTCATCCAATATCACCGTAAGCAATAACAAAGGCCTATGCTCCTCAAAAATGTAAATGTCATAAAAAGCAAAAACAAAGGTAGACTGTTCTGGATTAAAGGAAACTAAATAAGCATGGCAACAAAATGTACTATATGATACTTGGACTGGATACTGGATCAAATAAACAAACAGACCATATTTGGAGCAATTGGATATATTAGGGGAAACTTTAACACTATTAATACAGACCGCATGTTAAGTAACAACATTGTATTGATGGTAAATTTCTTGGGTGTGATGACATTTTAATTTTGTGTAAGACTGACTTTTTATTGGGAGATACATGCTTCAGTATTTAGAAATGAAGTATTATCTGCAACTTACTTTCACAAAATTCTGTGAAAAAGTATGCCTGTGTGTGCATGTAAGTGTATACATATAAACAGTGAGAATGTGAGTGAGCGAGGAAAAATAGAGAAGAAGAATCTGGATAAAGGATATCTAGGTCTTCACTGTACCACTCTTTTAACTTTTTCTATAAGGTTAAAAATTTTTCAACAGTGTACAGGGGGAAAAACTCTATACTACTATAAGGTAGGTCTGTACTGAAACTCCTGCCTAACCTTAAATTCCAAGAAAACCATCCATCCACTATACTATTAACTCTACTTCTTTCCATCTGGATTTTTCTTAGGATCAAACTTACATTTTGTACATCCTCCACCCACAGAAGCAGGGTGTCTTCTTGGGGACACAGCTCTACTTACCAGTACATTTTTCAGTTTGATATCACGATGGACGAGTCCCTGGCCATGCAGGAAGCGGATTCCCTCCACCACATCTAGTGCTATCTGCAAACGTGTCTCCAGGGCCAGTCCAGCCTTGGAGAAACAAAAGAACTTACTGTCACAAACAGGGCAACTCCTCAATCCAACTTGCTTGAACCAACTGAGACTTCATTCTTTGAGGAACTAAAAGACTGACCACATCAGGACACACAAAGACAGAAAAACGAATAGAAACAAAAGGGGAAGAGGAAAGCAGTTAGGAGAGGGAAGTGGAGGAAAAGCAAGGAAGTGCAAGTTGAAAAGAACACAAAGCCAGATAAAATCCCTTGGGGGCTGCAGTTGGGCCAGCTGAATGATGCCCAGAGGTGACAAGGAGAGGTGCAACCAAATAACTAAATCCATGAACCCTGATTTTCGTTTTTGTTTGTTTATTTGTTTTTGGTACCAGGAATTGAACCAAGGGGCACTTAACCAATGGCCACATCCCTAACCCTTTTTTATATTATATTTAGAGACAGTGTGTCACTGAGTTGCTTAAGGCCTCTCTAAGTTGCTGAGGCTGGCTTTGAGCTTGTGATCCTCCTGCCTCAGTCTCCCAAGCCTCTGGGATTCCAGGCACGAGCCACCATGCCTGGCCCATGAGCCCACTTTTTAAAAGTTTTTATTTGTTCTTTTTGGTTATACATGACAGTAGAATGTAATTTGACATATCATACATACATGCAGTGTAACTTCCCACGAACATATTTTGAACATTTGAACACCTCAACCGCAGAGGTGGATTTACTTCTGCTGTTTTACAGGCCTAGTCACTGCAGATTTTGTTTAATGACTTCAAATACCACTCATATTACTTTAGTTTAGGAGCTCTTGGGTTCTGGAAAATACTGTATTATTCATCCAAAAGATCAAGTGGGGCTGCTAGTCCACAGGTACAAAAGCAACAGACGTTCTGAGCTTAACTCATCTGTAATAGAGAGGATCATTTGAAGAGTCATTTTCTTCATCCAATCAATTCGTCATGACTCCTGGGAGCATTTAAGTTGTTCTCTGCCCTAGTTCTGGAAGATTCTGTGTAAACTTGTAGAAAAGGAATCTGTAAGAAGGGACTACCTAGATATTCTGATATCTGTTTTTCTCTCCTCAGCTCCAATGTAGGGAACAAACAAAAGAAACCACTTTTTTTTTTTTTCCTTCAGCCCAGGGGCTTGAACCCAGGGCCTTGTGCATGCCAGGCAAGCAATTCACCACTAAGCTACATTCCCAGCTCCAAGAAACCTCCCTTTTGGTGGTGGTTTTAGATGAGGGGAACTCATCTAAATTTCAATATCCAACTGAAAGTTTCATCTTCACTCAAATAAAATTCTTCAGTGTGGCATATCTCAATTCATAAAAAGATCATATGATTAAAAACAATTTTTTTTGTAGTTGTAAATGGACAGAATGCTTTTATTTGTTTATTTTTATGTGGTACTAAGGATCAAACCCAGTGCCTCACACATGTTAAGCAAGAGCTCTGCCGCTGAGCTACAGCCCCAGCCCATGATTTCTGTTCTAAACCTTATTGGGACTTGTGTTAGAATGTGTAATCTGGAGTTTTCATTGTCTAAAACAAACTTGAATTCTACAGCGATTCTTTCTTTCCAACTGCCAAAATTTTACCCATTTTGATACGCGTGTCAAACTCAAACTCCACATCCTCACGAAATATTGACTGTGATTCCTTTGAAAGCTCCTGGAAGTTATATTTTTTGATATTCCCTAATGGTTCTTAATACAGTGCGTTATGCATAAATATTTATTGACTAAATAAAACTGGCTTTATCCACCAAGAACAAAAAAAGAGAGAAAGGGGAACAGAGTTCCAGGAAGTTTTTCTGCTCTTCTAATTTTCATCACTACTATAAATGACAGTAATCTGGATATAAATACTGGGACTAAAAAAAAAAAAAAAAGACTTTTTTACGTCTGAGACAGTTTTAAGGATTTTGGATATAAGTGCAATAAAATCTGATAATTCTAAAATCTGATAATTCCAACAATATCTTATGAAAATAGGAGGCTCTGAATAAACAGGAATGGATGAAAGGCCAATAGGGAAGTAGAGGTTCTAGTCCTGAGCTGGATAGAGATCTCTCCCTGCTTTGCCTCACCTTCAGCCCTGTGTAGAGGTCCCGGTGTAGTCGCTCCATAATGAGCAGCACAGCAATGCTGGAGCCACCTCCATAGTTGTAGTCGATGACTGAACCATGGAGATCCACCAATCGCTCATGCTTCGGCAGAGATCTGTGGGAAGAAGAGAGGTCTGGGCTACAATACTAGGGTTCTAATCTTGCATAACATGTCAAAATGTAGGAAGGAATAGCTTTAAGACCATGCTTAGTTTAGGTCCATAGGGAATGGCGCTCAGTATAGACAGAGTGCTAACAGAATAACCTTTCCACCAAGGAAAAAGAAACATGGAATCTAAAAATCAACAAGCCTTGATGACTAAGAAAGAAAGTTAAATAAACAGCTGGGCACAGTGGCTCATGCCTGTAATCTCAGCAACTCGGGAAGCTGAGGCAGGAGGATTCCATATTCAAAGACAGTCTTAGCAACTCAGTGAGACTCTATCTCAAAAAAATTAAAAAATAAAAAGGCTGGGGGTGTTAGCTCAGTGGCTAAGTGCCCCTGAGTTCAATCCCCAGTACCGAAAAAAAAAAAGAAAGAAAGAAAGTTAAATGGAATGAGAAATCTAAGAATTTAAAATGGCTAGAAAAGACCAAACCAAGATAGTAAAGTCCTTAAAGAGTACCTATGGCTAGGCTAGACCCACAAATATTTTGAAACCTAGGTATGGAGAAACAGGGAGCTGGAGCTTTTGGTACAACACTTATTCCCGGTTTCTGGCCTCTTCTAGGGATCTTTCCCAGAGAGATGGATGAGACTAGGACCCACCTCATGTAGTGAAACTCCAAAGCCAGATCATTCCAGTGCTTCTCATCTGGAGGGACGACCGATTTAAGGGCACAAGGGAAGTGTCCTCCCCAGTTGTCACAAAGGTATACCACACCATACTGGCCCCGGCCCAGTTCCTGTCCCAGTTTAGGTTTACCTACATGGGACAGAGACAGAGAAAAGGAAGGAGGGAACTTACTGGGAAACCTCTGTAAGATTCTTAGATGTGGGCCTGCCTAGAGACCAGAAGTCATAATCATGCCAGGGGAAGAAATTCTAGTGTCATTCTAAAAGAGTGGAAAGTAACTAAATAAACTTTGGTAATGTTATTTAAGCTATATAAATAGCAGGACCTGGGCTGGGGTTGTGACTCAGTGGTAGAGCACTTGCCTAGCACCTGTGAGGCACTGGGTTCAATCCTCAGCACCACATAAAAATAAATAATAAACAAAACAAAAATAAATAGCAGGACCAAAAGACTTCAAGAATTCAAAGTTGGGCTGGGCTTGTGGCTCAGTGGTAGAGTGTTCATCTAGCATGTGTGCAGCACTGGGTTCGATCCTCAGCACCACATAAAAAAGTAAATAAGTTACAAAAAAAATTTTTTTTAAAGAGTGAAAAAAAATTCAAAGTCACATCAATAAGTGCTTAAGCAACTCCTCAAGGAAGTAGCTTGAGACATTAGGATTCTCAGAGGCCAGAAAAACAAAACAAAACAAAAAACAAGGACTAACGATGCAGTAAGACGTCCTGTAAAGAACGGCTCTCCAGAGAAAGGCGGGCCAGGCGTGGGGCATGGTCTTTCCGAACCTTCAGCCACAGATCTTCAGTTTTCTCCAGCCGGCCTGAGTGGCCAGCTTCCAGCTAGGAGGGAAACAGAGAAAAGACCCATAATAAAAGACACATTAAGCCCTTAGCCTCAGCTTCCTCACATGTTATACAGGAATAATATCTACCTCAATGGGAAACTGTGAGAATTAAAAAGCACGTTTAGCACAGTGACTGTTATAATCAGAACTTTCAATAAACAGTAATTTTTTTCTCTTGGATACACAGTCACATCTATCCACTCTCTCCACACACACATACACACATGCGCACACACAAGTTATGTCACGAAACTGAATTAGAATGGAAATTGGAAAGTCATCTCTGTCATTCATTCCTAAAAACACTATATAAACTTACAAAAAAGTTCCTATACCTCTATTTTCTTTTTTTCCTCAGTACTAGGGATTGAATCCATGGGTGTTCTACAAATGAGCTACATCCCCAGCCCTTTGTAATTTTTATTTTGAGAAAGAGTCTTGCTAACTTTCCCAGGCTGGCCTCAAATTTGCGATCCTCCTGTCTTAGCCAGAGAAGCTGGGATTACAAGTGTGTGCCATGGAACCAAGCCTGTATCTTTTTTTTCCTCATTCAGTGAAATTGAGAGAAATTAACTGAGCTCCCTCCATTCTCCCTAGAGTTAGAAAAATATCCACATTAAAATTTTATCGGTGAAACTTCCTATAATATAGAATTATCTTTAACAAAATAGAAAAATACAATGGTGATTTTTTTTTTCAAAATAATATGGACAGCAAAGAGCAAAATATTTGGGGCTGGGGTTGTGGCTCAGTGGTAGAGTGCTTGTCTAGCATGCTTGGGGCTCTGGGTCGATCCTCAGCACCACATAAATGTAAAATAGATATTGTGTCCACTTAAAACTAAAAAACAAATATTAAAAAAAGAGCAAAATATTCTTCTCTTGATGAAGCTCTCCTTTGCTTATTTTAGCTGTATCTCCTTTCCTACATACCAACCTGCCGTAAGGAGGCTGCAAAAGCCTCATGAGAACTATTGAGCCGAGTCCGGAATTGGCTGCAAATGCTCTTGGCCAACTTGGAGGCACTGAGGCTCTCAATGGCTTCCTGGGCCACCTTCCTCTTCCATTCTAGAGTGATGGCAGGTGGGCTCACCCAGGTGATACGCTGGATGATCTGCCAAGATAAGGACGTGAGATCACTGAGGGATGGAGAAAGGAACTACTAGAAGGTCCCAATGATGCCCTTCCTTTTCTGGATTACCCACCCATTAGCAGAAGGTTCTTAAGAATAAGAGCCTCATGAAGTTCAAGGTTCCTCTCTAATTCCATCTAGCCCTATCTACCCCACAATCAGGGCTCAGCCCAGAGGAAGGTATCAAAGAACACTAAGCCAAAAAAACCAAAACAGTAGGCTGAGTCTATGAGTCTACATGCTCACAAACCCTCAATACATTATATGCAGTCTTGGGGAGTGTCTGAATCTGAAGCAGTAAATAACTACTTCATAACATAACATAACAGCACAAGAGCCAGAGTCAATTCCAGAACAGGAACTGCATTCCATGGCCTGTGGCAACACCACCACTAATTCTGAGAAAACATTCAGTCTGTTTAAGAAAAATATGAAGAAACTAGTGATGGAGAGGCTTATGGCTCCATGAAATATCATTTAAACCTACCACTTTTAAGAATGAAAGGGATCACTGTTAATAATTATTTAATAGGCACAAACTAGAATTCTCTCAGGCAGACCAATCAGAACACAAGGCCAATCTATCTTAAGAGGAGATCCTAGCCATGTGCTCCCTCCTAGAGTGATTAGGATCCCTGTAAGTCAATAAGGAACTGAAAACTGTCCCTCAAAGCAACGCATACCTGCTTGATTTGCTCCCACAGCATCCTTGTAACCGAGGACCCTGAGTGAAACGTGACTTCAACATGATAGGCAGCATTTAAGATCTAAAAGAGTATACACAAAGAAAATTCAATACAGGATATTTACTTCAAGAACACAGTCCAGTCTCAAGGTTTCCAAATTTATCCCTCAATATATATATATATAGAGAGAGAATTAACTCAAGTTGATTGCATACTCTGTGACTAGTTAGGCCTTTTTACTTCCTCTTCATGTTTACTGACTATAATTTACAGCTCACCAGCACCTCCCATAGGCAGTGGTCACAGGTAGGAAAACAATAAAATTCAAACAATAGGTAAAAATTTGAGAGGGAAAATCCTGGCTAATTTGAAGTTGGACTAGTGTGTGAATTATTCCAGGTTTTCTATTTGAACCATTTTCTTTGCATACCTGTTTGAGATAATTACTGGTGATATGAATGGAAACATCCTGTGACTTCTCCAGGCTCTGCAGACACCGTTCCAGAGTTCCAACAAAGCTCTCACGTAGGTAATCTACGGAGCTGATTAGCTTGTTAGCCACTGCCTGATTAAGCCGGGAGATGATGAGTTCCTGGATTTGTCGAATGCAGCATTTGATCTCTCTGGTGCCCACTGGTTCTCCATTCTCTGGGACAATAACATCTATGGAGGCAGAGAAATAAGCTACTTAGCTGTGAGGGAAAGGGGCAGACCTACTACATAAAGGCCTCTCCCAAGTCAGAGCCAATGAATCACAGGACAATGGCTATAAAAAGACACAACTGGTTGATGAACACTGACCCTCAGCATGATCAGGGCCACATAATGCTCAACTACTTAAGGCTACCAAGATCCTGAGAAGCAGCAATTATGTTTAAAAACAAGTCTGTTGATTTTGTTAACTTTTACGTCAAATTTATAGGAGGGGATAAACACCATTAATTGCATGCAAACTATTTGAAAGACATAATAGTAAGTATTTTAAAATATGCAGTCTAATTTCATCTTCACAATAACTTTGACAGGTGGGTATTATTAGTTTTATTTTTTAGATCAGGAAACAGCCTCAGAGAGAGGACAAAGTGGGCACTGGAAAGGGGAAGGTACAGTTAGGAAGTAATTCAGCTAGCATTTGAACCCCAAGCTTATTGATTCCAAAGCCTCGTGTCTTTGTAATATTTCTCACTGGTTAATATATTAATGAGAAGAATCCAAGAGACGGAATTTTAGTCTAATCAATTACTAAATAAACAGTGAAACTCAATTATTGTCCCTATCATGCCACTACCTCTCAGAATTTAAAAATCTATTTTATAGGCCAGTGGACAGAAAAAAAAAAAGAAGTCAAAAAAGATCTGCTCTTAGAAAGGAACTCTCAAATCTATTGGTGGATACTTAAATTGGTACCACCTCTTCAGAAGAAATCTGGCCATATCTATCAAAATTTTAAACCAACCATGCCAAACATGGGTGGCACATGCCTTGTAATCAACCTGGGAAGGTAAGGCAAGAGGATCTCAAGTTCGAGGCCAGCCTGGGCAACTTAGTGAAAGCCCATCTCAAAACAGAAAAAACAAAAACAAAAATAAAAATAATGCCTGGGTAGCTCAGTGGTGGAGCATTTCCCTGGATTCAATCCCTAGTACTGGGGGGTGAAAATTACACAAACAATAAAAAACCCACATACTCTTTACTTAACTATTCTGCTTGTAGGAATTCTTTGTCCAGAAATGTATCCTTACAGATATGAAATACATTTATGGACAACGATGATTAATACAATAAAGTTTGTAATAGCAAAAAGAAAATAGCTTAAATATCCATCAATAAGAGAATAGTTAAATAAATTAAGATATGTCCATTAGAAGAAGGCATTTATGGGAAAAGCCCTCTAAGATATACATTGAAAAGGTGAAATAGCAAGATACAAAAGAATATACTGAGGGGAACAGAATGGCTGGGGACAGTGCCTCTGTGTATTTGAATTAAGTAGTATATATGTATGTTTTATCCTTTAAAAATATAAACAGTCTATAAAGTAGGTATATTATATTATCCAGAGTACATGGGTTACCTTATATATTTATTTATTTTTATTTTTTGTTTATTTGTGTTGCTAGGAATCAAACCCATGGCCTGCAAATGCCAGGCAAGCATTCTACCAGTGAATTATACCCTAACCCTCATTACATTTATTTAAAGAAAAATACCAGTAAAAGAAATCTGCCTCCACAAGATATGTGGTTGCTTTCTTTAAACCTTTTTATCATTGCTTAAAGAGTACTCAGAATAGTCTTAGAAAAAAGTAAGAACTGAACATACAAGTTGTGTCTAATAAAACTAGGTGCAGTGGCACACGCCTGTAATCTCAATGACTTGGGAAGCTGATGCAGGAAAATTGCAAGTTTAAGGCCAGCCTCATCTATTTAGTGAGCCTCTGTCTCAAAATAAAATAAAAAGGGTTGGGGGTGTGGCTCAGTGGTAGAGTGTCTCTGGGCTCAATCCCTAGTACCCCCTCCCACACACACACAAAGTGCGTCTAATGTATCTCCATCTAGGTAAGTAGATCCACAAATCCACAAGGAAGTTAACAGAGTCAGACACTTGATCTACTTGTTCCCAATCACCCCATGTCTGTTTAGCTAATCACTATATCCCAGGCACTATATATGGCATGCCTGGCACAGTACAATGAAATATTTCACTGTCTGCTCAACCTAGCTGCCCTAACCTTCCTTCATCATGCACACTATGATATTAGCATTGATGCGCCAATGTCCTTAATTAAATATTGAGAGGACTTTCTAGTATTTCTACTGCAAGTGAGCATTTCTCAGCCATTCCTTCCTGCAGTGGGAATTCACCAAAGATGTACCTTTGTTCATCTTTAGAAAGACTTATAAAAAATCAGACATCCTATCCTTGCTAAAATCAACTGTATTTCCTTTGTAAAAAGTGTGACATAGAGACCGTTATTTATAAACTCATTCATTCTTCAAAGACCTGCTACATTCAAGGGCTGGGGATGTGGCTCAGTGGTAGAGTACTTGCCTACACTGGCAAGCCCCTGTGCTCCATCCCCAGATTCACACACATACACACACAAATGTGTGTTATTTGCTACAAGGGATATGATGATGTAAGACCCAGATCTATTCTCTTAAACTCCAGGATTTTAAAAAAATAGTCAAAAGAAAATAAATAACTATATTAAAACATAGAAAGTGAAGCCCCAGTGGTGGTGCACACCTATAATCCTAGCTACTTTCGAGGCTAGGGCTAAGGCAGAAGATGGCAAGTTTAAGGCCAGCCTTGGCAACTTAGCAAGACCTATCTCAAAATAAAAAGGAAAAAAAAGGAAATAGCTTAAATATCCATCAATAAGAGTTTAAGTCCAGCCTCATCTATTTAGTGAGCCTCTGTCTCAAAATAAAATAAAAAGGGTTGGGGTTGTGGCTCAGTGGTAGAGAGTCTCTGGGCTCAATCCCTAGTACACTCCCCCCCCCACCGCCGCCGCCACACAAACTTAGCTTAAATATCCATCAATAAGAGAATACTCTCAGCAGCAGAGCACCCCTGGGTTCAATTCTCAGGACTTCCCCCTCCCCAAAATAGTCAAATACACCAAAAATAAGTTACAGATGAAATGCTGTGGGAATTTCAGATGACTGCAATTGTTAGTAGGTATTTGAAAAAATTCAAGAAGATTTCATAAAAATATGGCATCTCTGTAAGATCTTAAAGAAAAATAGGTAGGATTTGTGCTTGCCTAGCATGCCCTGGGTTCAACGTCCAGCATCACCACATAACCAAAAAATTAAAAAATAGGTAGAATTTGGAAATTCACAGAAAATAAATGACATTTCAGGTTTAAGGTTATGCACATGCAAAGAAAAAGTGAAGAGAGTGTTCAGAGGACAGCAAGCAGTTAAGATCAATCCAAATAAAAACAAGAGGCAGATGCAGAGTAGGAAACAAGACTAGCAAAGTTGGTAAGGGCTCAGCTTTGGAGAATCTGTGACACTAGGCTGAGGAGTTTAAACCGTCTATAGGAACAGAGATCCAATAAAGATGAAGTGGAGAAAGGAGAGAAAGAAGTCAGGTAATGATAGTTCAGTTAGACTAAGGAAAATGGAATAGAAAAGATATAAAAGAATAGGTAGGATTTGTGCTTAGTTCAAGGCCAGCCTTGGCAACTTAGCAAGACCTATCTCAAAAATAAATTGATGAACTCAATTTCCAGCTAGAAAAGGGAAGAAGACTCATCAATACCTGGCAACTGATAGACAAGGGAACAAGGGGAAGATGACAGTTAATAGATCTGCTGAGGTGTGGATGCTGGCTATCAAGAAGAGGGTGGTGAAAGGAAGAAATTAAGAATAGGTAAAGCATGGAAATTAAGAGTATGGGCTGAGGAATCAGGCAGTCTGGCTTCAAAGCCTACCTCTGTGACTCACTAGTTGTGAGACCTTGGGCACAGTACTTAATCATTTTAAGTCTTAGTTCCCTCATCTAAAAAATGGAAACAAGTGGAATCCTCCTAGGGAGGACTCGGAAAAACACTGACACTAGGTGCTATGTCAGAAGTCCTGACTAAGTCTGGAGTGGTCTTTAGCAGTCTTGAGCACCAGTGTTTTCAGAAAGCCTCTCAGGGGATTTGGATTACTTCTTATGATTGAGAATCTAAACAGCACCTTGCAAACTGAGTCATTTCAATTAAAGGTAGCAGAGTTAATGTTCACACATGGAGGTTCACACAGTAGTCAATATACAAAGTCAGCGCATTTAAACCTCAAACACGGAAAGACCTGACCAATCGCTTTCACCCAATTTTGTTAACAGCCATTTGTGAAAAATGGGACCGCCAGAAAAGCTAAAAAACATTACTTTGGGAAATCCTCCTGAGTTGACTTTCAGGAGCAGTTGAAAAAAAGAAAAATGAGACCATGAGATAAAAAAAAAGAACCACGAAGAAGCGTGGGCCACACTGATAGAGCAAAGGTTAAAAGCACAACCTAGTAAACTTCTCCAAGCAGCTCTTCTCCAGCTCCTTTATGGCCCAGGGACAGATGCAAAGTGGAGGGTGGAGAGCTATTAGGATGGTTTTACCAAAACTCAGCCTAATGGCCCTGGAAGGAATGACATGGAATCTTCCAAGAAGGTCCCTGAGAACAACAGAGGCCACCAAGGCTTCATGATTTAAGAGAGGTTTCTGCTGGAACCTTAAGAATTGATGAACTCAATTTCCAGCTAGAAAAGGGAAGCTCCTAACATTCTGCACCCCACATAGCTGCAGGGACCTACCTTTAAACTCCATGTTGGCAGCATCATCCAGAAGCTCCTCCTTCATGGAGTTCAGGGTCTCGACAATCATGTCCTTCATTTCCTCCTGCTTTCGGTTGGCAATATTCATCAATGATTCATACAACTCATTTTCCTTCTTTCGAGTATATTCCAGACGTTTGGGAGTAATTTGCAGGTCCCGCTGCATGTCAAAGGCCTGGTTGATGAAGATGTCCAGGCAGTGGCAGTGCACCGAGTTCAGGGCCTTGGCCGCTTCCACCAGGCGGGTCTGTAGCAGCTGGTGAGAAAACGTGATCAGGTGTCTCAGCTTCTCACTGTGCTCCACCAACATGCTCTGAGGTTTAGTGTCCTGGCTGGGGGCCCCACAGTTCCAGTGACTGCTGCTTAGATAGCCCAGGTCAATTAGTTGGCGATATAGCGGTGATCTTTCACTCTCCATTCTCCTGATGGAGGAGTCTATTATCTCCAGCTTTGGCACTTTGAAAAAGAATACGGGAAAGGAGAAATACTTTCGGATTTCCTGAAGCTGCTGCTCCTCCCTCTCAGAGAGTTCATCTTTGTGGAGTGCATACATTATCACAGGTAAAAAATCATTCACCAAGTCACCCAGAACATCCACTGTGGGCCGGAGGCCTTGGCATGGTGCCACCACAATGTCCACCTCCTGGAAGGGGAAGGGGGTTATATCAGCACCTCAGGGTCAGAACGATTCCTTGCCTCCCCAAAGTCCCAACTGATACCAAAATCCAGATCTACGGTGGAGCAACTGGACCTCAGTGTACCCCAATCATATGTCCACCTCCTTCCTTGGTTACCAACACTCCCTTGTACAGCCTGTGAGGGCAGGCCCTCCTCTAGAGAGTGAAACAACAAGTAGAAAGATGGCGGTCCCTTCAGCCATTTCAGATAAAGCAAATATTTAGTCCCTGCCTTCCTTTGTTGCTTGGAAATTCCCACTGATTCCCTCGGATGAAGAAATAAGACAAATAATGGAAGAAAAGGAAACTGTTGTGGCAATTATCAGACTGGAAGTGAGTCTGCCTGGAATTCCTCCCTCTCTTTCGCTCTTCACAAACCCTCTTCCCGTTTTCTAACCTGGCTAATAACTCCTAAGCATCCTTTAAATCAATGTGTATGGCAGTCCCTACACACTGTCAGAGCCTTACAGAGCCTTTACTATTACACAATCCCAAACACTCTTTAATTCCCTAATTAATGTTCAACACATTTACAATACATTTATTTAAAATCCATTTTGTTCTACATTAGCCTGTAAACCTTTTTGAGGGCAAGGACCATGTTTGTCTTGTTCATTATTTTAACTTCAGTGTTGAGCATACAGTAAGTCCACAACATTGTTGAACCAATCACTTATGCAGCAAACTAAAAGCTAAGTACAACAAACATTACTGTCCTGTTCTAAGATTTTGTAGGTCTTAGCCACCTGAGTCTTAGAAATACTTTTAAGAATATGATCACTTGGCATGACAGAGATCAAGGTCTACCTCGCCAATATCTCGGCTCTGTATTTTGGGGAAAGCAACGTCCTTTACAGATAGAGTAGGGCTTCCAGGAAAGCTCTTCAGGGGAGGGTGATTCTACCAGGAAGCAACACCCGTTGGCCTGGCCCATCTTCCTACCCGAGTGCAGATGTGATAGCTGGAGCAGAAATGGTCATGCTGCAGACCTAGGCAAACCTGAGGCTGGGAGCCAGCACTAAGCACCATGAAGCAAAAAGAAGCTGTGGACTTCTTTTATGTAAGAAAAAAAATTAAGCACTGCCTTGTTTAAACTCTTGTTTTTGTGATGATGTTACAACTGAATCCAATTTAATCTATATCCCAAGTTTCTAAAGTGAGATTCCAGAATGATCTTGGGTTTAGAAACAAACCTTACACAAGTCCTTTTCCAAGCTATAGTTTATTTTTGTTTTCTATTTCTTTCCTGAGGAGTTTCAAAGCACTTAAAGTACTTATTTCCATTCACTGAACAGGTTACTCCTCATATTTCTGAAAATGTCTACACAAAGGGGTGACTGGGAACTCAGGCCCATATCACTATCATAAGTACACAGGCTCTTGATGTATTCTGAGGTTTGTAAACTCAAAACAACCCCCTCCATAGCACTCTAGAACTTACTGAGTTATAAGACAACTCAACACATATCTGTTCAACTTTAAAACCCTAAAGAGTTCTCAGACTGAATATTCAAAACCTAAAAGGGATGCAATTTTATTTTGTTTATTTCCTTTCAAATTAATATCTGCTTTCACTCGTTACCTTATTTGAAGAGCAGGTATTTTCTGATAAAAGATTTTTAAAAAACAAAAACCTGAGCCCTTTACCTTTCTGATATCCTTCTCTAGATAAGGAATGGGAAATGCCAGCCTATTACATCCAGTATCTTTTTCCACTGACACTGACTCAGCGTACATGTTGTTCTTATTTTTTCCACTCCAAGCGAAGCACAAATGTCTCACCTTCTTCCAACAAAGAACTAAGCTTCATTTTCAGGTAGGTCACATGATGTTCACTTGGCTGGCCACTTTACACTCCCAAAAGCTAAAGTGCTTTTAGCATCTCCCCATTTATAATTGGAGCAAACACTGCATAAATCCACCTACTCCTTACCCAAGGCCAGACCAAGAGGAATTTGCTGTTTCATCGTGCCTGAAACTGCAGAGAATGTATTCTGGTTGGAAAACTAGTCTGACACTCATCTTGCTGTTCAAAACAACCCCTTTTGCTACCATGAGTCACAAATGCTGATGTGTGAGTCACTTCAGAGAGGCATTTTTAAAAAGTTGGCATGTAACAAATTTCAAAATTTAGAATGGAACATACAATTGCATAAATACCAACATTACAGTCACATATAATAGATAAAGAAAAAGGAATCCCAAGACATGAAAACAGTTATACTAGGTAGAGAATTATTGTTGACAATGTTTTGATCTTGTAAAGTTCCCATAAATATGTACATTTTCAAAGATATTAAGCAATCAAACCTATAAAAAGAAAACCTAAATATCTGAAATCAAAGTATTATTTAGAAAAATCTTTTTTTTAATATTTATTTTTTAGGTGTAGATGGACACAACACAATGCCTTTATTTTTATGTGGTGCTGAGGATCGAACCGGGTACCGCCCGTGCTAGGCAAGTGCTCTACCACTGAGCCACAATCCCAGCCCTGAAAATTTTTAGGAAGAATTTTGTCTGCTTGTTTATTTGATTTTTTAAAATTTTTAAAATATATTTTCAGGTTTTCCTCAAAGGACCATTTTGTGTACACAACAAAACCAGCAGCTAAAACTGCCAAATCTACTTATAAGACCCTTTTAAAAGACCAGTTGTCTTTATTTGCTCATAGGTGCAAATTCATTAAAAAAAAAAAAAAAAAAATTCAAGGCTGTCTAATGGTAGGGTATGGTATGATACACTGACACCTAGAAAGAATCCATCCATTCCTAAATATATCTTGTACTAAACAAATATGGATGAAAACCAGGTATATTCTCTCTTCTCCTTTCCCCAGTTAATTCATTTGTGCAGTTGGTCTTGCTGTTCTTTCATGACTGTCAGAAGACAGGCAAAGAGCTGCAGGCTGAGACCCTGGCAATAGTACAAACTAGACTGGAATGTGGTATGTGATTCTGCAATACTCACAGTGAAGGAATGACTCATGCTGGATGGTTATAAACAAAACGGGAAGCCAGCACTGTCTCCTGGAGACAGGGAGTGAAAAAATAATAATAATTAATATAGAGAGGATGAGCTAGAGCTCTCCTGGGCCCTATTACAGCCACCTGAGACACAAGTCTGACCTCAGATTATTACTCAGAAGACCACCCTTCCTATAACCCAATACAGTGCCTGGCATTTAGTAAGCATGCAGTAAATAAATGTACAATGAATTAGTAAAGAAATGATGCCTTTACTACTTGCTCAAAACCATTCAATCATCAAATGTAAAATTTCTTTCAATTCCTACCCCTCACATCTTATCCCACACATTTAGCGATATTGCTGTTTGCCTCCACTCCAAGAATGAAGCACTGAGTAAGCATTTTGTTCTTACCAAGGAAAAAGAATCTAAGGGAATTGTTAGAAAAATCCTTAATTCCCATTTTGAATCACAGTAAAATCCTAAAAGAGATTTCTCTTATAAAATGCATTTTGTACAACTCCATGTAATGTACAGAAGCTGATCTGCTACCATCAATTTTCTTGGCAGGATTAAAACAATGTAACAGAAAGGTGCTTGCTACTCTCTAGATACCAGAATGATGCTTTGGTTTTGTTTTTTTATGTAAGATGATACTACTTGAAAGGCCAAGAAGCAGTCACTCAATTACTGACTCCTTCCTGAGAAATACTGGCTCTTATTGGTGAGGCCTTCTTACTCACAGCACATTACCAACTCCATTGTGGCAAAGGGGATTATACTAATTGATGATTCAAACAGAAAACAGTGATGTACTCAGGCTGAAGTTGGTAAGAAGCAGATGTCTTTGCTTTCTCTACCATTCTGAAGCCTCAGGTTTACATCACACAGAAAAGGAGTACACAACTATTTAACAGTCCTGCCCTTGTTCAGCAATTTACACAACCTCAACCTCAGTCACTGTCTCCACATCCTAACCATCTTTACTTCCAATTCTCCTCCCATATCATTTTTTTAAAAATCTTTACTTATTTTTATGTGGTGCTAAGAATCGAACCCAGTGCCTCGAATGTGCTAGGCAAGCACTCTACCACTGAGCCACAACCCCAGCCCCCCCATATCATTCTTATAGAGCACTTGAGAAATTTTTCCTGTTTGTTTTTCACAGGGTTGGTTCTGCATTTTCACTCTTAAATATTAATTGCCTGTTAAATAATATATCTCCCTGTTCTTACGACATTGTAGAAAATACCTTGATTCACTGGTACAAATACTCTCCAAGGGTAATTTGCGAATGGATGGGTTTCTAGGCTATAACATGCCTCATGAAAAACTGGGATTAATGTGAAGCCAACCAGGAGCTCTATCCCAGCAGTCAACACCGAATGGATACAAGCTCATCTCTCTACCTAGTAAAAACATCATATGGTTATTCAAGGGCCAGATACAAGACCTGAAAAAAATTAATCACAATCATAACCTTCAACTAGCCACAGAAAGCATGAACCATTATGCTCAAAGAAAATAGATTTACAGGGGCTGGGGTTGTGGCTCAGTGCTGGAGCACTCGCCTAGCATGTGCGAGGCCCTGGGTTCGACCCTCAGCACCACATAAAAATAAATAAATAAAGGTATTGTGTCCGACTACAACTAAAAAATAAATATCTTAAAAAGAAAATAGATTTACAATCCCAAATACCCAAAGTCTTTCAGGATTGGAATTATCCTCTCTACATTATAAACTGCAATGAGTTAGGAGACAGATAAGATAACAAGAATGTACTGAATAGCCTCTGTGCATTCTATCTTCAGGACAAACTTCCATCCAGGTACCCATAGATGCAAAAGTAGGAATCTGAAGCTTTATTCTCTTACTACTTACTAGAATTATTGAGAGACAAAATAATAGAATGAAGAAGAGATAAAGAGGGAGGAGGGAAAATTATACCTTTTAACTTTATATATATATATATATATATTTTTTTTTTTTTAGTTGAT